TTAATTCTACTGTGACCGGGTTGATGATCCTCACGATGGGGGAAAGGCCCCAGGAATTTCGGTCCTAATTTCTTACTGGGTAATTTAAGGCATAAATATTTAGTCGACAGATAAACCTTTTCCCCAACTTGGAATGTTCTTTGGAGAGCCCTCTTTTTATCAGCCTGCTTTTTATAGGTCTCGGAAGTCTTTTTTAAAGCAGTCTTTGTGTTTCTCCAAACTTCTTCCCATCCCCTCACCCATTGATCAAGTGTCTGGGAGGCGGAGGGCACCTGAGGGTATTCAGGTATTGGGCTGAACTCTTTTCCTGTGGCTACTCTGAAAGGCGTGTAGCCGGTGCTGCTGTGAACAGAATTATTGTAAGCCACCTCGGCGAAAGGGAGGAGGTCAGTCCAGTTTGTCTGTTGGTAGGACACGTAGCATCTGAGATATTGCTCCACCATTTTGTTAGCGGATTCTGCAGCCCCATTGGTAGCCGGATGAAAAGCAGATGATAAGCCTTGAGATGATCCAATTAATTTAAGAAAACTCCTCCAAAATTTCGCTGTGAACTGCACCCCTCTGTCTGAAATTATTCGCTTAGGGGCGCCATGCAGCCGGTAGATATGTTTCAGGCACAATTTAGTCAGTCGTTGGGCAGATGGGAGTCCTTTGCAGGCGATGAAATGAGCCTGCTTCGAGAACAGGTCTATCACAGTCCAGATGACAGTATTTCCTCTACTTTCAGGTAGGTCTACTATAAAGTCCATAACTATTTCTTCCCATGGTTGAGAGGGGTCTGCCACTGGTTGCAGTAGCCCAGGGGGTTTCCCTGGAATTCTTTTCATGGTGGCACATACAGTGCAACTCCTGACATAGTTTTCCACATCTCGTTTTAGCCCCGGCCACCACAATTGCCGGCGGATGAGGTGTAGAGTTTTTAAATATCCAAAGTGCCCAGCCTATTTTCCATCATGGCTGTGTTTGAGAGCGTTAAGACGGAGGGCTTCAGGCAGATATAGTTTCCCCCCCTTGTAAGCCAAACCATCCCTGCATGTTAGGGAGGTTTGATTATCTTTGAACCATTGATCGGTGAGTAGCTCTTGTTTTATTTTCTTTATCCCAGGGTCATCAGGATTAGGGACCCTGCGAGGCGTAAGTTTGAAGGGCAAAGTTTCCCTTCTGTTCTGTAGCCCACACACATTCTTTCTCCTCCCCTCCCAGCATCATCTAATTTAACTCTAAAAATACCACACAGCTTATACAGAGAGCGGCTGCCTCTTTCTATATTGTCAAAGCAAGAACATCCAATGTTAGCAGCATTGACAGTTACAGTATATTTAAATAGATAAAAGGTGTATTTTGGAGATTATAGTTTGTTATGAAGTGAGATAAGGGAAATCTTGTTTACCCAAGGTTTGAAAATTATGGATATTAAAGGTTAAATTGGAATATTGATGAGAAGTTAAAAATTATATAAAAAATTAATAACAGGATATGGATTGTTTATGAAGATTGAATGTAATTAAGATATATATAAGCTAAAAAAATATTGATAAATGTAATAATGATGTTTTTATTGAGTTGATATAATTAGAAATGTACTAGCCTGAATACGAGATAGTAAATGTTAAGGGAAAAAGAGAAGAAATATCTGTTGTTGTAACCTGAGATTTGCACTAAAGATTTTGTTATGGAATTATTGATTAACCCAGTCACCATGTTGCTTTTTAAATACTCAAATGTAAAATTGGAAAATTAATAAAATATTATAAAAAAAATATCCTATTATGTCCCCAAAGGTCATGTCTTTTAGAGTTTGGGTGGGGTATGTAGATTTTAGAGGTCTTTGTCTTCCTAATCTCATAGCTTCTACCTTCCTGGCCCCAACCTTCCTGAATGGATTATTGAATTTGCATTTCTAAAAGCTGCCCTCTGCCTAGTTTCTGCTTGGGGTTATTAAGAAAACTGGGCTTGCTTTTCTGCCTTTAAGATCTTCTCCATTATTCCTTTGGATAAATATATTCTGCCTTTTTAATATTTCCCAAAATATTTCTTTCTCTGGATTCTTCCCACACCACTTTCACGGTCTGTACTTGATTGGCTGGCTGCTAACAAAAATAACCTGTAATTTAACCTATCATACCTTTTTATAAAAATCTTTTATTTTTACACAATGGCAAGGTACACCCTTCAATACCTGTTGGCTATGCTGCACACATGAAAGAAACATATGAAAACTTGGAACTGACGAGGGAATTGAAGGGGAACTCATCAAATTCGCAGATGACACCAAACTGGCAGGAGTAGCCAACACCCCAGAAGACAAACTCAGGAGCCGAAAAGATCTTGACAAACTTGAACAATGGGCCCTATCCAACAAAATGAGTTTCAATGTGGAGAAAAGCAAAGTCTTACACTTAGGCAGGAAAAACCAAAGGAACAAATACAGATTGGGAGAGACTTGGCTTGGAGGCAGTAACTGTGAGAGGGACCTTGGAGTCCTGGTGGACGATCACTTAACTATGAGCCAGCAGTGTGCAGCAGCAACCAAAAAAGCTAATACAATCCTGGGTTGTATAAACAGAGGCATAGAATCAAGATCACGCGAAGTACTAGTACCACTTTATAAAGCCCTAGTAAGACCACACCTCGAATACTGCAGCCAATTTTGGTCACCATATCACAAAAAAGATGTTGAGAGTTTGGAAAAAATTCAGAGAAGAGCAACTAAGATGATCAAAGGCCTGGAGACCAAAATGTACGAAGAACAGCTGCAGGACTTGGGTTTGGCTAGTCTAAAGAAAAGAAGAAATAGGAGAGATATGATAGCAGTATTCCAGTATCTGAGGGGCTGCCACAAAGAAGAGGGGGCCAGGTTGTTCACCAGAGCACCAGAGGGAAGTACGAGAAACAATGGTTGGAAGCTGATCAAAGAGAGAAGCAACCTGGAATTAAGGAGAAACTTCCTGACAGTGAGGACAATCAACCAGTGGAACAACTTACCTCCAGAAATCATGGGTGCTCCATCGCTGGAAGTTTTTAAAAAGAGACTGGACAATCACCTGTCTGAGATGGTATAGGTCCTTCTGCTTGAGCAGGGAGCTGGACTAGAAGACCTCCAAGGTCCCTTCCAGCTCTATTCTGTTCTATTCACATCCAGTACACCAAGTACAAATGGAGCATCTGTGGAGATCTAAAAGTAGTAGCTCTGCTGTTTGGAATGCAACTCGGATATACCAAGTACTGTTGTTACATATGCAAATGGGACAACTATGCAAGAGAGTTGCATTACATTAAAAAAGAAATGACCAATCTGAAAGAATTTGGTTCCAGGACAGATAAATGTGGAACATGAACAACTTGTTGACCCAACAAAGGTATTTTTGCTTCCGCTTCACATAAAACTTGGATTAATGAAAAATTTTGTGAAAGCAATGAACAAGGAAGGTGAAGGTTTTTGTTATTTGAGACAGATGTTTCCAAGCATAACTGATGGCAAGATTAAGGAAGGAATTTTTGTTGGTCCAAAGATGAGATACGTTATCAATGATAAGCGGTTCAAATATCTGTTAGTGGGGCCAGAGAAAATTGCCTGGAAAGCATTCAAGGATGTCGTTGAGAATTTTCTTGGCAACTGCAGAGCAACAAACTACATTCATCTGGTTGACAAACTTCTTACAACATAATGTACAAGGCCAAGAAGTGCAACATGTCACTGAAGATTCATTTTCTGCATTCACACTTAGACTTCTTTCCTGGAAATCTAGGTGCAGTCAGTAACGAACATGGTGAAAGGTTTCACCAGGACATTGCCACAATGGAAAAATGGTATCAGGGCAACTGGAATCCATCAATGCTAGGTGACTATTGTTGGACACTGCAGTGAGATGTATCAGACACTGAGTACAAATGAAAATCAGCAGGAAAACACTTTTAGCCCTTTTGAAGTCATGCAGCATGTAGGAAACATTATGTGATTAAATATATTATAGTCATTAAAAGTTAATTTCATATTTCTCAGGATTCCTATGTGATACAGTCATTCTGAAATTATATTTGTGTTCAGTTTGAAGGGGTCTATCATAATCACTGTTATGTATTGAGGTTAATTTACTTGGAAACTGTTGGAAACGGCCAAAAGGCTGCACCTGTTTAAGCTCCAGACTGACTGTCTACATGTTAATTAGCTTGACTTTAAGAGGGAAATACTGCTTTAATTCTATTGGCTGCCGCCTAGTGGTGAGCTGTATAAATAGTGGTTAAGCAGCAGTTAGGGCTGCTTCTGTTGTGAACTGAATAAAGAGTTGTTGCTTGCACCATTCGCCTCATCAATGCCTCACCGAACTAGAAACATAACAGTGGCGACAAAGGTGGGATGTGCTGCAAAGAGGGAAAGAGCCAGAGGTCACTAGGGGTAGACCAGGCCTCAGTACCCTGGTAGGAACTACGTTCCCCCCTCTGCCTGCCAGCAAGCAACGCTGGAGGCCAATGCCCTGAAGGACCCATTTCCAGGACAACAACAGAAGCCTTAGCAGCACAAGGCATTGCGAGGTCGGAGACAACTCACCATGGCCAAGCTCGGAAAATTGTCGGAGTTTGACGTGTCGCATCCCGAGAGCTACCTGAGAGCTAACCAAGTTAGCGAAGATGGCTTAAAGGCTGCAACGCTGCTGTGCATGTGTGGCCAGGCGACGTTCGATATCGCCAAAAACCTGGTCGCACCAGCCACACTTGAATCGGTAACCTACGCTGAGCTCAAGAAAATGCTCAAGGATCATTTCGAACCGAATCTCTCAGTCATTGCCTGGAGACACGCCTTCGAACAAAGGGAGCAACAACCAGGCGAGTCTGCCGCCGAGTTCATAGCTGCCCTATGACAGGCGTCCTGGCTCTGCAATTTCCAAGACTTCGAAGAGAGACTGAGAGACCGTTTAGTTTGCGGGTTGAGGAACAGGGATCTTCAGCAGAAGTTGTTCGCGAAAGAGACTTTGTCGTTCCAAGATGCTCTAAAGGAAATCATGGCTGAAGAAGCTGCCGGGGGAGCCGTAAAAGCCTTACGGTCCTCCAAGAACACTCCCAGCCCAGAAACCGTCCACAAGGACGCAGAAAGAGGTGAGGTCCCCAACATTGACCACAAAATCGATTTGCTGCAGAAGCCATCAGCAAGAGTTCAACGGCCACTTGACAAGGAAGTTCCCTTCACTCGATGTATGGGCTGTGGAGGCCGACATAGACGCTCGGAGTGCAGGTTCCGCACAGCAACGTGCCGGGCGTGCGGCAAGCAAGGCCACATCGCCGCTGTCTGTAAAGGTCACCAGAGGGACATTCCACAAGAAGAATTTCTCAGGAAAGGTACCGGGGCCCCAGGGAAACACAGAGTGGTTTTTTGTGCCAGCAGAAGGAGTGTGTTTAGAACAGGTGCCCATCGCCCCATGAAGGAGAAGCTGAGACTCAAAGTCAAGCTTCATGGAGTCCCATGCAACATGGAACTAGACACGGGGTCAGCCCTGTCTATAATTTCCCAAGGAACTTTTAACCACATTTGCAGTCGCAAACGAGTCAAACCCAAGCCGTCGAATCTCCTGTTAACTGATTTCCAAAACTCCCGTGTAGCGGTTAAAGGAGAAGCCACACTCAAAGTGCAGTTCAAAGAGTTTGAGGGTCCCTTGGACGTCGTAGTTTTTGAAGGCAACTGCACAAGCCTCATCGGGCTAGACTGGTTTGATGCATTGGGCATCCACGTGACTGGCATACACAGAACGCAAGCAGCGGACCTGTCGTTAGTTTGCCAAGAGTTTGCTGATGTATTCAGCCAAGACTTAGGGAAGTACAAGGGTCCTCCAATTACCCTCCACCTCGATCCTACCATAACCCCAGTAAGGATCAAGCCTCATAGAGTGCCTTTTGCCCTCAAACCCAAAATCGATGCAGAGCTGGACAAGCTGGTGCAACAAGGTGTGTTGCAGCCAGTAGACAGCAATAGGTGGGAAACCCCCATAGTTATGCCACTTAAGGCCAACGGGGAGGTGCGCATATGCGCAGTTTATAAGTGCACTATTAATAGAGCGCTTCAACAACATTCATATCCGGTGCCTATAGTCAGCCACATTTTGGCGTCACTACAGGGAGGTCGCATATTTGCCAAATTGGATTTGGCTCAAGCCTACCAGCAACTGCCTGTGGACGATGCCATGTCAGAATCTCAAACTATAGTTACCCACAGGGGAGCTTTCAGGGTGAAGCGCCTACAATTCGGGGTCAGTGTCGCCCCAGGACTTTTCCAGGGCGTGATGGAGTGCACGCTCAAAGGTATTCCAGGCGTGTGCCCATATTTCGATGACGTCCTCATAGCTGGGGAGTCAGTAGAGAAATTGGCAGAATGGCTCAGGGCTGTCCTTCAGCATTTCCGTGAAGCGGGCCTGAAACTAAAAAAGGAGAAATGTAAAATTGGGGTAGCTTCGACCGAATTCCTTGGTTTCCGCATAGATGCCGAAGGCATTCACCCTGCTGAATCCAAGCTCAAAGCAATTCAGCAGGCCCCAAGTCCAAAATCAAAGGGGGAGCTTCAAGCATTTTTGGGACTGCTCAATTTTTATCATGCCTTTCTACCACACAAGGCCGCAGTGGCAGAGCCGTTACACCGGCTCTTGGACAAGAAGGCACAGTGGCAGTGGACGAACATCCACAAGAGGAGTTTTTCAGCAGTCAAATCACTGTCTTCAAACTCAGTATTGACACATTTTAACGAAAAGCTGCCTGTCTGCATTGCTTGTGATGGGGTGGGGGCTGAGCTGAGTCATTTAACGGCTGACGGAAGACAAATTCCAATAGCCTATTATTCAAGGACTCTGTCCTCGGCGGAATGTAACTACGCCCAAATAGATAAAGAGGCACTGGCCATTGTGCCCGGTATTGAGAAATTGAATGACTACTTGTATGGTCGGCCATTCACGGTCTTTACGGACCACAAGCCACTCCTGGGTCTGTTCACGATGGACAAACAAACACCTCAGATTCTCTCTCCAAGGATGCTGAGGTGGTCCATTTTTCTCTCAGCTTATAATTACAGTCTGATTCACAAACTGGGCAGGGAAATGGGCCATGCCGACGGCCTTAGCAGACTGCCCCTGCCGCACTTAGAGCCAGACCCCGCTCCAGTGGCTCACATTCTGGCTATCCAGGATTTGCCGGAGTCTCCCTTTAATGCAAGGGACATAGCTACCAAAACAGCTTTGGACAAGACACTGAGCCGCATGTTGAATTGGGTGCTCACAGGATGGCCGGACATAAGTCCGGGACCTAGCTTTCAGAGTTTCAGTAGGAGGAAGGACGAGCTTTCAGCTCACAAAGGCTGCATTTTGTGGGGGAGTCGGGTCATAGTCCCGCACTCCTTGAGGCCCAGGGTACTTGAGTCTCTGCATGAGGGACATCTGGGAATAGTCCGGATGAATGCACTCGCGAGAAGCTACCTGTGGTGGCCAGGGTTAGATAAAGATATTGAGGCCCAAGAATCCACATCGATTTTGCAGGCCCCGTTCAGGGACAGCTGTTCCTTATTGTGGTGGACAGTCACTCTAAGTGGTTAGAGGTCGCACCTGTCCCAACTATGACTACTGCCAGGACCATTCAGGAACTGCGCAGGATCTTTACAACGCACGGGTTACCTGACGTGATAGTCTCAGACAATGGGGCTCAATTTACTGCTGCAGAATTCCAGTCCTTTTTAAGGGCTAACATGATCAGGCACGCCACTTCGGCACCTTTTCACCCAGCCTCTAACGGCCAAGCGGAATGCATGGTCTGAATGACCAAAGAATCCTTAAAAAGGATCATAACCGGCAACTGGCAGCATAGACTGGCAGACTTCTTACTCTGCCAACGCACGACTCCCTGCACTTCCGCGGGCAGAAGCCCAGCAGAATTAAGATGGGGCCGTCGCTTAATCACTAAGCTGGATCGTCTGCATCCAGACCGAGTTGCATCGGAATCAGCACAGCCAACGCCACCGAGGAGATTGCAAGTTGGCGACCCGGTTTGGGCTCGAAACTACGGGCAAGGGGCACTGTGGGTGGTAGCTGTGGTTGGTAAGGTATCAGGGCCACTCTCTTATGAAGTGGTCCTGGAAGACGGTCGTGTGATACGCAGGCACATCGACCAACTGCGCAGGAGGCTAGCGAACCAGCCGCTGGCTCATGACTCTTGCGAAAGCCAAATCCAGGGGGAGACTGACAGCAGCCATGCATCGGAGTCTTTGAGCATGGGCAAGACTCCCAGGAGAGGGGCACTAGCGGACAGCGAGTTGGCCCCAAACACAGAGACTGCACCCACTGAGCAATTCCGGCAGTCGGCTCCGATTCCCAGCCCGGTGGAAACCGTTCCACCTATGGACACTGGCTTGGGTCTACCCGGACAGACCAGCCACAGAGACTCAGGGCTACCCGTAGTAAACGGGTCCCAAAGCCCTGGTCTACCCAGCCTGGCTGGCGAGCTATTAGATCGGGGGCCTACAGTGGTGCCGAGGCATTCGGAATGGTCAAGAAGGGCACCAAAATATTTACAGGACGATGTTCAATATTTGTCATTATGAACTATCTAGGGGGAAGGGGTGAAATTATATTTGTGTTCAGTTTGAAGGGGTCTATCATAATCACTGTTATGTATTGAGGTTAATTTACTTGGAAACTGTTGGAAACGGCCAAAAGGCTGCACCTGTTTAAGCTCCAGACTGACTGTCTACATGTTAATTAGCTTGTCTTTAAGAGGGAAATACTGCTTTAATTCTATTGGCTGCCGCCTAGTGGTGAGCTGTATAAATAGTGGTTAAGCAGCAGTTAGGGCTGCTTCTGTTGTGAACTGAATAAAGAGTTGTTGCTTGCACCATTCGCCTCGTCAATCCCTCACCGAACTAGAAACAACAATCACCAAAGGTTTTCAGGAAGCTATTGAAAATGTTGTGTCTCCCCCCCCAGTCATTCTAGGAAAGCTTTCCCCCCCCCATTGGTTGACTGAAAATTATAGAAGAAAAAAAAAGCAGATGAAATTTAAGCATGCTACTAATGTAACCCACTGGATAACCCTAGCCCTATTCTTGATTCAGAATAGACCAATTCTACTAGTTTTATCCAAAAGGAAACAAACATGAATTTAAATTTGTTAATGAATCTGCTGCTATTACCATAATACTGTATTAGTCTTTTAAGACAACCTTACCAATTTTAAATTCATATTATTTTGGTAAAAAGAATAATCATTTTGTATAGTATCATTTGAGTTCTGAGTGCCATGATTTGGTATGGGGTCTTTCTGAAGAACCTTCATTTGACCCTCCCATCACTTTCCATGCTAATTTTCTGGATCACCCTGATGTGCCTGGTGTCTATGCTACATTCAACGTACCCCCTTTGACACAGGATACCTTTATGGGTCTGCCACATACAAGGACGTTGGCAAGCAGACCATTGAAGTATGTGTTTTTTGCCTGTGTCTCAAGTGAAGCTTTCTCAACATTGCATTTTATTACCTTTACAACAGGGGCTTGAAATCTTTATATCTGAATTCTGTGAAACATTTTGGAGGCCACCATCTAATTTTTGAGTTAAAATTTTTATTGATTTCAACAAAGCATAAAATACAGAAATATAAAGAAAGGAGAAAAAGTGGAAGAGAGAAAAGGGTCAGGTAGAGGGGGGGGGGAAGCATTGACTTCTGACTCCTTTTGGTGCAGTAGAATAAGATAACATAAAATCTCAATTGTTTACTTTTATATAATAGTATGTACTAGCCATTTCTATAACACTAAACCTATTTAATCAGCAAAACCCAAAATTAAAGTTTCATTTTTTTCCACCTCAAGCACAAAGTCCAAAAGCGGTTTCCAAGTAGAAACAAGATTGTGTTCTTTTTTTTAATCAAAGCAGTCAATTTAGCCATCTCTGCTAACTTCATCAATTTTTTGCAGCCATTTGTCCATTGTGGCAATCACAGTATTGTGTAGTGGGTTTGAAGGCAATAACTAGACCGGTATTATGCAGAAGTGTTTATTCAACCAAGAACAGAACTGTCAAACACTGGCAACATGCCTGCTATTTATACGTTTTGCCTCTAGGGCGTCAACCAATCACAACGCTAGCTTGCTCCTGCTCAAACTTGAATCTTTTGACATTTCCCTCCAAAACTGTTGGAGGTAGCTTAGCTTTACAGTACTGTAAAGGGGTGTGCATGGTTTCCCAGCGGTGCACGGGTGCTTGGGGCATCTCTGGGTGGGTCTCTTGGCAGACCTGACAGCCCCTTACTTGGGTTTCAATGTCTTTGTCCAGGCCCGGCCAGCACAAATAGCTCCCGGCTAAAGCCTTCATCCTTACGATTCCGGGGTGCCCTTCATGTAGAGAATCTAGCACCCTGGTTTGAAGACTGGGTGGGACGACAACCCTTCTCCCCCATAGTATACAACCCTTGTGGGCTGATAGTTCATCTTTCCTGCACGCGTAGTGCTGAAACTCTGGGCCTGGCCAGGTTTCTGGCCACCCCCTCAACACCCAGTTGAGAACGCGGCTGAGTGTTTTGTCTGTGGCAGTTCCAGCAGCCACGTCCCCTGCGTGTAGGGGTGTTTCTGGAAGATCCTGGATTGCCAGGATATGCACTGCCGGAGCTGGGTCCGGATCCGTCTGCGGCAGAGGCAGTCGGCTGAGCACGTCAGTGTGGCCCGTTTCCTTCCCTGGCTTGTGGACTAACCTGTACGAATAGGCTGCCATGAAGATTGACCATCGCAGCATCCGCGGTGACAGGATCTGCAGAGTCTGCTTGTTAGCTGTAAAAAGGCCAAGCAGCGGCTTGTGGTCTGTGAAGACGGTAAAGAGTCAGCCATACAAGAACTCATGGAACTTCTTAATACCTGCAACAATGGCGAGAGCTTCCTTATCGATTTGTGCATAGTTCCTCTCAGCTGCTGATAAGGTTCGTGAGTAGTATGCAATGGGAGCCTCACGACCGTCTGGCATTTGATGGCTTAGCACTGCCTCAATGCCATAAGGCAAAGCATCGCAAGCTAGCATTACTGGCAGTTTTTCATTAAAATGCGCCAGTACGGAATTTGATGACAGCAGTGATGACAGCAGTGATGACAGCAGTGATTTGACCGCCTTAAATGCCATCGAATGGTTGGTGGCCTCTCTGCTGCTGGGCAGTGGGGGTTGGTAGTGCCCCTGGCTGCTGCAGGCCTCCCAATGGTGACTGTGCATGCTGGGCCCCTCTGATCTGCAAGCTCACCGGCTGTAGTTCTGCAAGGGTGGGGCTGGGGGCCTCTCTCCACAGGAGCTGTCCTCCGCTTCGCACTTCTAATTCCTCACATCTCTTTGCCAGGCAGTCTAATGACCCACTGTGAACTGCAGGTGGGTATTTCCACTCGCCCGAGTTTTCAGTGACAGATGGCTGGTGGGGGGGTGAAGGCAATCTGTAAGAATTCCTTAATTGTGACTCACGTTCATTTATTGGCAATGCTGTGTGGGTTACTGCAGAATTTTCGCTTATCAGTCCTCCACACAATTTTGGCCTCGCTCCCAGCTGGGAAATCTGCCAAATTCCTCTCTCGCCCGGCTTGCCGGCCTTCACTTTTCCCCCCGGGAAGTCTGCAGCAGTCAAAAAGCTGGCCTCAGACACTTTTTTTTCCTGCATTTTCAGATCTTCGCCGAATCTTTTCCAGAACCCTCAAGATTAGAGGGAGTGGATGGGGCTCGGGACCCCAGATTGTTGTAAAAGGAGATGAGTCCTAAGCATAATGTCATGTGTCTGAGTAACGAAACACTTAAAAGGACTTTCAGGCATTTTTTTCTCCTAAAAGCATTTATTTAAGATTACAGTACGTCAGCACGGCATGGTGGAATGCTTAGGACTGGTTCCTTTTCCGCTATGCATGTAATTCTAAACATTTCCCTCCCACCCTTTTTGGGGGTCATGGTTCACATCTTCCAATCAACTTGGAAGATGTGATTTACATCCGGTTTCTTTTCCCCTTCTGCCTGGTTTAACTATAAAAATGCCAGACAGCTCTGCATATTGTCAAAGCAAGAATATACAGTATTTGCAGCGTTGACATATGTGGCTTACCACCAGAACTGGGTAAGCATGTTTCTGTAGTGCTTTATTGATTGTGCACTTGTAGTCCGCACAGATGCGAACGTCCCCGTTCGGCTTTACTGGGGTCACTATGGGAGTCTCCCACAGGCTACTGTCCACAGGTTGGAGCACTCCCTGCTGCACTAGTTTGTCGAGTTCCGCGTTTATCTTTGGTTTTAGTGCGAAAGGCACTCTGCGCGGTTTCACTTGGATTGGAGTGACTGCTGGGTCAAGGTTGAGCGAAATGGGCACCCCCCTGTATTGTCCCAACTCTGTGCTGAAAACATCAGCATATTGTTGGCAAACTGCTGCCAGGTCAGCTGTTTGTGTGCAATGGATGCCCGTCACACGGATGCCCAAGGCTTCGAACCAATCCAGTCCGATGAGGCTGGTGCGCTGTCCATCTACGACCACAACACTGAGGGGACCCTCAAATTCCTTGAACTTAACTCTAACGGTGGCTTCTCTCCTTATGGAAACACGGCAATTTTGGAAGTCTGTTAGTATGAGGCTTGATGGCTTGAGCAGTACTCGCCTTTTGCCTTGTCTGCAAATATAATTAAAAGTCTGGTATGAAATGATGGATAGGGCTGACCCAGTGTCTAGCTCCATTGAGCATGGGTCCCCCTGCAGTCTAATTTGGAGTCTTAGCTTCTCCTTGAGGGGGCGTTGGGCTCCCGTTCGTTGGATACTTCACCTCCCTGAGCAATATCCAACCCTGTTCTTCCCTGGGCCCCAATTACCTTTCTGCTGTGGGGGCGCAGTTCGCATTTCCCTCTGGCGGCCTCTACAGACTCTGGCGATGTGCCCTTGCTTTCCACAGGTGCGGCACACAGCTGTGCGAAATCTGCCCTCTGCCCTTTTATGCTGTCCCCCACAGCTGGCGCGGTTCAGTGGGGCCATTGTTTGCTCTGTTGAGCATTGCCATCTGGGTGGCTCCCTCTGCGACCGGTCAATCTCATCTTCATCGGCCTCCCCGGGTCCCTCAGCGGTTTCATGGTGGATCGCCACAGGGCTGGTGTGTGCTTTTGGTGGCCAGAGAGCCTTCATTGCTCCTCTGGCAGCCTCATCCGCCATGACTTCCTTCAATGCGTCTTGAAATGTCAGTTTTTCCATGGCGAATAGGCGCTGCTGTAGCTCTCTATTTAACAAACCGCAAACAAGTCTGTCTCTGAGGCGGTCTTCTAAATCTGGAAACTCACAGTTGTGTGAAGCTTGTCGAAGTGCAGCCACAAACTCAGCTGCCGATTCTCCAGATCTCTGCTCGCGTTGCTCAAAAGCATGGCGCCAAGCAATTATGGAGAGTTTTGGCTCAAAATGTTCTTTTAACCTCTTCTTGAGGTCTGCGTATGTCACTGACTCTATGCTTGCTGGTGCCACCAGGTTTTCTGCGATGTCGAACGTCGCTTGCCCACATGCACAGAGTAGAGTTGCCGCCTTCAGGCCATTGTCTCTGACCTGGTTTGCCTATAGATAATTGTCAACACAGGAGACGTAGGAGCTCCACTGCTCCAGATGGGTGATGTCAAACTCGTTGAGCCATCTGAGTTTAGCCATTCCGGGAGTTCTGTGAGGTCCTGGTTACTACCGTCTCTGCTACGGAAAGAGCTGTGTTGCCTTTTGATCCTGGGGATGGATCCCTCAGGATTTCTGTGCCTCCAGTGTGTCTTACTGGCAGGCAGGGCGGGGATGTAGCCCCACCAGGGCTCTGTGCCTGGTCTGACACCCAGTGACTTCAGCGTGCCTCCAGTGTGGCTTACTGGTAGGCGGGGGTGAGAACTAGGCTTGCTGCGGGTCTTTACCCAGCCTATCACCCAGTGACTTCAGCTAGCAACAGCTCTCTCCTCTGCAGAATCCCACCTTCGTCGCCACTATTGTGTAGTGGGTTTGAAGGCAATAACCAGACCGGTATTATGCAGAAGTGTTTATTCAACCAAGAACAGAACTGTCAAACACTGGCAACATGCCTGCTATTTATACGTTTTGCCTCTAGGGCGTCAACCAATCACAACGCTAGCTTGCTCCCGCTCAAACTTGAATCTTTTGACATTTCCCTCCAAAACTGTTGGAGGTAGCTTAGCTTTACAGTACCATAATATCAGTATTAATATATAACACACAGTGTCCTTCCATTTTTGTGCATAAAGTAATCTTGCTGCCATCAGTTTTGGATTGCCACTTTAAATTTAAACTAAGAATGTATTATAATACATTCTTAGTTTATATTTAAAGTGGCAATCCAAAACATAGTGTCTCATTGTTCTTCTTACAAAGTTGATTATAAACATCTCTTGATAATTTTCTTATGGTGGCAAATCTGGAGTTTACTCTATATCAGTGGTTCTCAACCTTCCTAATGCCGCGACCCTTTAATACAGTTCCTCATGTTGTGGTGACCCCCAACCATAAAATTATTTCCGTTGCTACTTCATAACTGTAATTTTGCTACTGTTATGAATAGTAATGTAAATATCTGATATGGAGGGTGTATTTTCATTGTTACGAATTGAACATAATTAAAGCATAGTGATTAATCACAAAAATAATATAGCAATGCTCGCTGGAGAAGCTTACTCTTCCTTGCTCAAAAATGTTGGGAGGGAGGGAAGGGGAAGGAAGGAAGGAAGGAAGATTGAAGGGGAAAGGAAGGAAGGAAGGGGAAAGAGATTGAAGTGGAAAGGATGGAGATGGAAGGAAGGAAGGAAGGAAGGAGAGATTGAAGGGGAAGGGATGGAGATGGAGATGGAA